AGAGAGAGAGAGAGAGAGAGAGAGAGAGAGAGAGAGAGAGAGAGAGAAATGGAGGGAGGAGAGAGAGGTAGTCTATTTATTCATGAGCACTGTGTTCCTGAATAAGCTGATTTGGAAACTGAGAACCACTGATGCTCTGAGCATTTGATGTTTTCCAGGTCCCTGCTGTGCCTTTCATCTGGTATTGGGGTACCTGGGTGACTTATGAAGGGGCAGTGTAAATAAGAAGAGAAATGGGACCAGCCCGGAAGGTTATTCTTCGTGGCCCATGACAATGGGCCTGTTAACTACACAGTAGCTGCAGGGCTCTCTCCCTCCCCTCAGCTGCTACTGCAAGACAGCTGATTAAAATGGGAAACAGTCAGTAATCCACTCACTGGCCGCAGCTTCTATTTTCAAAAGTTTCAGTCTAGTAAACTCTCATGCTTTTTAGCCAGAGAATTGAAGAGGATACTCTTGATGCATTTTTTGAAACTTTAAACCTTTTCTATTTTAAAAAGAACTGCTGCACCCCCTCCCACTCCACCTTGACCCCAAACACACATTTACACACTCACAGACACTGTCACATGCACACAACCCTCTCAGATACTCACATCCACACACTCACAATACACACATTCACACATATACACATGCTCACACTCAAACATACACATTCAGACACATTCACACTCACACACACACACATACATGGTTCATGACCCTTTGGGAGCCTAAAATTATCTTCCTGTAAATGGGGGGAGGTTTCTCACCCTCTTTTTGGCCCTGATTTTTATGTTGTTCAGTCATTTTTCAGTTATGTCAGACTCTTCATAACCCCACTTGGGGTTTTCTTGGTGGAGATACTGGGGTAGTTTGCCATTTCCTTCCGTAGCTCATTTTACAGATGAGGAAACTGAGGCAAAAAGGGTTAAGTGACTTGCCCAGAGTCATATGGCTAGTAAGTGTCTGAGGCTAGATTTGAACTCAGGAAGAGGAGTCTTAGAGCTGGAAGGGACCACACAGGCCATTTGGTCCAAGTGCCTCATTTTATAGATAAGGAAACCAAAGCTCAAAGAGATAGGTGACTTAGCTAAAGAAAAATGGTGGGCAGTCTTCTGTGTATTCTCTAATAACATCCATCCATGTTCAAAGACTTCCCAGATTGTTAGAATCTGCCAAAACCTTCAAGAACCTTTGGCCTCTTGCATACTCTAATGAACCTCTTAATGTTGATTGTTTGGGGGGGTAATTTTCAATGCCTTTCAGGATTGTTGTGCTAGGATCACTCATCTTGAACACTAGTATTTAGTAATAGAAAATTTACAGATGGAGTTTAGGGAAATCTGACCTAAGGAGTGGGCAATATATTCGAGAATATATATTCAGGTGAAAGGACAAGTCACTTTGTGGTTTGGGAGGTAATGAGACTTTGCAATGAAAGTTGGGAGAATCAATCAGTCAACAATGATCCAGACACTGCTAGGCTCTGAGTGTACCAACATGAAGACAGAACAATTCCTACTCATGGTGAGCTTATAGTCTAGTGGAGGAGACAAGTGTTATGTAAAAATACATACAGAATAAATATAAACTTAATAAATAGTACATGTATTATATGCATATATACATATGTATGTGTGTATGTGTACACATATACATACACACACATATATGTGAAATAAGCAAACTAGTTAAATACAAGACCCTCCTGGGTGGGAGGAGTACTAGAAGCAGGACATCAAGGAAGGTTTCATGCAGAAGATGATGTCTGAGCTAAATTTTTTCCTTTTTAAATCTAATTTTTTTTAATGAAAAAAGTTTTTTCTCTTACTCCCGTCACTCCACATTAAAAAAGAAAAAAGAAAAACAAAACCCTCATAATAAATATGAATAGTGAAGCAAAACAAATTCTTGCCTTATCCTTGTCAAAAAAAAATGCCTCATTCTATACCATTAGTCCATCACCTCTCTGTCCAGAGAAGGGCAGCATGCTTAATCATTAATTCTTTGGTCATTCTATTAAGGAGAGTTCTTAAGTCTTTCAAAGATTTTGTCCTTACAGTGTTTGAGGAGTATCTTGAAGAAAGGGACTTGGTGAGGTTGAGATAGGGAAGGAGTCCATTTCAGACATGAGAGACAGTCTATGCAAAGGTGTGGACATAGTAGTGGATGAGGAATAGAGAAAAGGCCAGTTGGGCTGGATGTCAGAATGGTGAGGGATATTTATAGAAGCTAGAAAGGTAGGTTGTGTCAGACTCTAAAAGCTAAACAAAGGAGTTGATATTTTTTTCCTTAACAGCAACAGGGAACCTCTGGTGTTGATTGACAAAGGAATCACATGGTCAGATCTGCACTTAAGAAATAACACTTCATTTTAAAGGAAACTCCATGATTATGGAAATTTACAATTCTACTAGACCTAGGAAGAAAGAACATGGCCAGGGCAGGTCTGTTGGTTCAGGGACAGAAAGGGTGGTTTCAATCGGTCTTCATATTTCCAATCGATTGCTTTATTGGGGGAGAAAAACACAGGCAGTGCTTGATGTTTAGGGGCTGTCTGATTATGCATGTTCTGGTCTATTCAAGCCATTTCCTTATCCTACTCTTACAGCTGCTCATTTTGTGGATATTTCACTGTGCATTATCCCCTCCTACAGACAGTGAGTGGAGGAAATAAAAGTCCATTTGGCAGCTCTGGTAAAAGGCTCAGTTGGGGAGGAAATTGGAATAATTGGTTCATAGAAAGATCTGTTTCTGGGAACCAGTGATCTTTCTATTACCAATTATTTCAATATGATTATTGCAGTCTGCATATGACATTTCTGGGCCTCCTCAATGAAGTCTCTGATTAATCAATATAATAACAAGCTCCTTGAGAACAAGGACAGATTTCTTTTTTTTTTTTGTCTTGGTATCCTCATTGCAGAGGACAGTGCCTCTCACATAGTTCAGGCTTTAAAAAAAAATGCTTATTGATTAATTGATTAT